CCCCCCTACATCCTACAACACATCTCCCATATTCTGCAATTTAATTGACGCTATTTCAATTATATGTTCCCCACCTTCTTTTTTATACCATATTCTATGTCGCTTTTTGATTACCGCAATAAAAAATTGTCAATTTTCAAATAGAAAACATGAGCTAACTCAATCAATTTTGATTATTTTTAAACGTGCCATTGTGAATCAAGCATGAAACTTTTGAATTTTGGGTCACTTGAACATGTCTTAATTAAGCTACAGGGTGTCCCACGAAACATGACAGTTGGTAAATAGTTATGAAAGTCGTCTTCCATATACTTTATTAGATATTAAAGGCTTTTTGCAGTTTATTAAGTTAAAAATATCTTTTTCCGAAATTTATTATTACTTTCAAGCCAATTTTACCATAACATGACATAATATTTGTATTGTCTAATTGGTATCAAACAACTTATAACAAATTATAGGAAGAAGACATTAAACTATTCACCAACTGTCATGTTTCGTGCGACACCCTGTAATTAAAATAATACAGTGATTATATACTATAGATTCCAGAAAACTCTTGAATTATAGTAACTTAGTAAGACGACTTTGAGAATAACATGTTTTCGAATTTCTAGCTTCTAGAATATCTTTAAAATTATTACATTTGAAACAGCAAGATATTTCTGGTAATGTTATTTTTTCATTAATTAGCTATAGTTAACTCGGCGGGGATGAATTGTCCCCACCCTCGGTTATTACAAATAATGATTTTGTTCTGTCAAGTAACTGCAGTACAGTGCGTATAGACTGGTGTAATGCACAGGAAGAAGTAAGATCTTAGTTCCACTTTCCTCCGTCAGGTATCTCTGTACGTCCTTTCTATTAGATGAAAACAATCAGGATAGTTTATCATTTGACCTCAAACCAAAACTTGTAATTTGTGATGACTAAATACACATCTGAATTGACGTCAAGGCTCTAAAATGTATTCAGCGGTTCAATGTAGATTAAATTAAAATAATAAAACTTATAAATAATATTTCAGCACGATTGTTGAGTTACACGATCTATTTGACTATGTGGGTTAAATTGTCGAGTATAATACATACCTCGATATTTCCTAGTTTTATGTAGGCTTACTAATTTGTGGGCTAATAATGATAAAATGTAAATATAATATAACTGGTAATAGGGTAGTTTATAATAATTATTATTGTCTTTTCATTCCCCCCCCCCTCCCACCCTTCTTCTGCTGGTTCCAGTATAATACTATTTAATAAGCAAACTTATTTTATTTTTTACATTGTGTTTTTTCTTTTTTGGATTCTTTTAATACGTTTTTGGTCTAAAATATAAATGCATGGTAAAAAGGAATTGATATGTGAATTTGAATATCTGATAGTAAGTAAATTTTTATCTCAAACTGAAAACTATATGTATAAATAGATGCCTCATTTATTGTAATCATGTATTTTGAACCAAATATAGATTTGAATAATAAAGTAAAACAGATTATAATCACACAGAGAGAGAGAGCCTGTTCTACGCCGACTACGAGCAACTCCTTTGGGCCTCTGCCTCAGTGTTATTGTGAACGAAACACACATAATTTTTGAAAAGACGAGTTTTGGAGGTGAATATAAGGACCTCTTGATTTTGACATATCATTCATCGATGAATATAAATATATTGTCAGATTGAGGATGAATTAGTAAATGTATTGTCAGATTGAGGATGAATTAGTAAATATATTGTCAGATTGAGGAT